TGTAAATGAATATTTGGGAAATTCCCCTCCCTCTGGATAATCTTGGTTTTATCCTAAACTACAGAAAGAACCCAAATAAAATATGTTCACATATACATACCCAAGTATTCTTAGGAATAAGAAGTCAAGCTCATCAACAGTGAGAGATTGTTCTCCATTTCAAGCTGAGACAAGAAAAGCAGCAACAGAGGCATCTATTAATTATATTTCAAAATAAATGTCTTCTTACAACTTCTCAGTGGAGATTCTAGATCCATAAACAGGAAAAATCAAATTTTGGTAGATTTCAAAGGAACATTTTATCCACTCTGATTTAAAAAAAAATGCTTTACCTAGTATTTTAAAGCCTTTTCTGCACATTACATCATAGACCTGAATAGTTATGGAGTGATTTTTGAATAGAATCTTGGGATAACATCTCGTGAGGAATTCATCTCTTAATTTCCCATGTGAATACAGACATGATGCTAGGAAGATACTATGTTGAATCACTGTGGCATTATATAGTTAAGATCAGTGATGAAATCCAATTTTTTTTTACTACCGGTTCTGTGGGCATGGCTTAATGGGTGCGGTGTGGCTTGGTGGGTGTGGCTTGGTGGGCATGGCAGGGGAAGGATACTGCAAAATCTCCATTTCCACCCCACTCCAGGGGAAGGATACTGCAAAATCACCATTCACTCCCCACTCCTGAGGGAAGGATATTGCAAAATCTCCATTCCCACCCCACTCTGGGACCAGCCAGAGGTGGTATTTGCTGGTTCTCAGAACTACTCAAAATTTCCGTTGCCAGTTCTCCGAACTGCTCAAAATTTCCGCTACCGGTTCTCCAGAACCTGTCAGAACCTGCTGGATTTTACCCCTGGTTAGGATCAAATATTAACCTTTGCTCCACAATTACTCATCTTTTGTGTATGATTACCTCTGCAGAGTCTTTCAAGGACACTAAATAATAATTTTCCTATCCTATGAAACGTTCTCTCTTTCCTATTTAGTTCCTTCTCCATTCACCTGGCCAATAATACAATTTTCTTTCAAAAATCACCTTCAAAGTTGGGATCCTTCCTTCAACCAAATTGTTTTCCAACACCTCCTTTAAAACACATGGTGGCAACCATGAGATAACTTGAGTCTCACCAGGGGACACACATGACCTTCTGAAGCAGATATCCTCTCTGAACCATTTCCTGTGGTTTGTCTTCCTTCTACCCCCAAATCTATATGTTAGAAGACAAGCCCTTTGCAAAAGGAAAGAATATGTAGCTTCTAAGTCTCTGTTGCAGCAAATTTGGCAGCAAAATCTCTGAAGGTGTCTACACCAGCTTTGAAGTTCTCCAAAGATTATTTTGGGAGGGTTGAGTACCCAAATTCTTAATCTGAAAAAAATGTGGCTATTCTTCTTCTTCTTCATCACCATCATCTCACTTCTAAGTATGTATTTACTTCCTGACAATGGTAGACTATAGATTTGGACTGGGCGTGTCTTCAATTCTTTAGATTCCTTCAAATCAAGTCAATTCCCTGCACGTTTTCCTACAAATTGACAGTAAATTATACCCTGAAAATTACAGAATTGAAGTATTCAATTGAAACAAAATCATCCTCCCTCCCTCCCTCTCTCCCTCCCTCTCTCTCTCTGTGTGTGTGTGTTTGGTGATGAGCATAATAGAAAGAATATAAAACTGGAAATGAATTTACACAGGATAGCCCTCGTAATTAGAACTGATGTTTGAAAACAGCAAGTGAGTAGATCCAAACAGCACTAAGGTTGCATCTGAAAAGAGGGAGTAGGATTTATTTGTCCACCTCTCCAACTCATCTCATGAATTGTCTATTATTTTCTATCCAGGAGGAAGCACAGGACAATCGGTAAAGCAAACAACTGGCATTGTGACTGTTACTGAAGGACAACCCATTTATCTCAATTGTTCTTATGAAGCAGTGTTTGGTGGCACACATTACCCATTCTGGTACACTCAGTCTCCTGGTCAGCCTCCAAAATACCTTTTGGATTCACGTTGGAAAACAGCTGAAATGTTTGAAGCTACTCACAATGCCGATGAAAATGGGAAAAAGGGAACTTTCAACATGCATAAACCAACCATCCAATTGAAAGACTCTGCTATCTACTTTTGTGCCTTCAAAGACACAGTGAGACAAAGTAGATGAGAAGCCAACAAAAAAAGGCACAAAAGGGAAGAAAAGCAGCGAAGGCAGAGGTGAAATGTTCTCGGTTTGGACCGGATCGCCCGATCCGGTAGCGATGGAGGCAGGTGGTTTGGAGAACCAGTAGCAAAAATCCCTGCCCCCCACCCACATTGCTGAGCTGTGCAATCATCAGAAGCTTTTTTTTAATTTTTAAAAGCATTTTTTCTACAACCTCTTTGGCCGAAAAAATGCTTTTCAAAGTAAAAAAAAAAAAAGCCTCTGATGATCGCGCGGCTCAGCTGGGATCATCAGAGGCTTTTAAAAGCATTTTTTCTACAACCTTTTCGGCCGAAGAGGTTATAGAAAAAATGTTTTTAAAAGGAAAAAAAGCCTCTGCCGATCAGGCAAGTCAGCTGGGATCGTCAGAGCCTTAAAAAAAAAAAGATCTTCAGAGGCTTTAAAAAAAAAAGTATGCCTCTGCCGATCAGGCAAGTCAGCTGGGATCGTCAGAGGATTTAAAAGCATTTTAAGAGGTTGTAGAAAAAATGGTTTTAAAAGTTTTTTTTTAAAAAAGTTGACCACGCCCACTCAGTCATATTACCCCCCCTCCACCAAGCCACGCCCACAGAACCGGTAGTAACAAATTTTACATTTCACCACTGAGCAAAGGTGAGCTCAGAAATGAAAATTCCAATAGTTCCTCTGAGATGAAGGGTTTTTCTTTTTTTGTTTGTTTGATTTATATGCCGCCCTTCTCCGGAGACTCAGGGCGGCTTACAATGCGTTAAGCAATAGCCTTCATCCTTTTGTATATTTATACAAAGTCATCTTATTGCCCCCACAATCCGGGTCCTCATTTTACCCACCTTAGAAAGGATGGAAGGTTGAGTCAACCTTGAGCCTGGTGAGATTTGAACTTGCAGTAATTGCAGGCAGCTGATGTTAATAACAGTGCTTTAGTCTGCTGCGCCACCAGGAGCAGACTAATTAAACCAAGGTTAATTGAAGCTTGCAATGGAAGTGAGAGGTAGGAAAATGGATATTTCTGGTCACTCAGAAATGAAGAAGGACCACCTGGGAAAATATCTGATAATGGTTATCTAACCATTTGGAACCACTTATCTCCATAGTCATGCAAAGAAGTCTTTCCTGTCATTTAGGTTTTAGCATTGTGAGTTGTTCATTCAACACTGGGATTCATCTTTCCATTTTTATCCCTTTCAGACTCTAAAATGATTCCAACTCACATTTCATATATGAAGAACATCTCTCTTTATCTCTGTCTCTCTGTCCTTCTCTCCTATTTATTCTACAGGTTCCCTCTCCATTCACCTGGCCAATAATAGATTGTTCTTTCAAAAATCACTTCCAATGCTGGATCCTTCCTTCAAACAATTAATTAATTAAGTAAATAAGTAAGTAAGTAATTAAGTAATTAATCAATTACTTAGGTAGTCCTTAATGGGTCCAAATCTACATGGAGAGAAGTAAGCAGTGGGGTACCACAAGGTTCTGTCTTAGGCCCAGTACTCTTCAATATCTTCATAAACGACTTAGATGAGGGAATAGAAGGAGAACTTACCAAATTTGCAGATGATACTAAGATGGCAGGAATAGCTAACAGCCTAGAAGACAGATGTCTTCTTGACAGACTTGAACACTGGGCCGATCTAACAAAATGAAATTCAATGTAGAGAAAAGGAAAGTCCTTCACTTAGGTAAGAAAAACCAACAGTACCCATATAAACTCAGTGAAAACAGGCTTAATAGCAGTGACTGTGAGAAGGATCTTAGAGTCTTAGTGGACAACCAACTAAATATGAGCCAGCAGTGTGCAGCGGCAGCTAAAAAAGTCAATACAATCCTAAATTTCATTAACAGGGGGATACAATCAAGATCAAGTGAGGTACTATTACCACTCTATAAAGCCTTAGTAAGACCACATCTAGAGTACTGCATCCAGTTTTGGTCACCACACTATAAAAAAGATGTTAAGACTCTAGAAAAAGGTGCAGAGAAGAGCAACAAAGATGATTAGGGGACTGGAGGCTAAAACATACGGAGAATGGTTACAGGAACTGGGCATGGCTAGTCTAGTGAAGAGAAGAACCAGGGAAGACATGATAGCAGTCTTCCATTATTTGAGAGACTGCCACAGAGAGGAGGTGGTCAAGCTATTCTCCAAAGCACCTGAGGGACAGACAAGGAACAATGGATGGAAACTGATCAAGGAGAGATTCAACCTGGAAATAAGGAGGAACTTTCTGACAGTGAGAACAATCAACCCATGGAACAGATGTTGCCTTCGAAAGTTGTGGGAGTTTCATCACTGGAGACTTTCAAGAAAAGATTGGACTTCCATTTGTCAGAAATGGTGTAGGGTCTTCTGCTTAGGTGGGGGGGATTGGAGTAGATGACCTACAAAAGAGGTCTTCAAACTTGGCAGATTTAAGACTTGTGGATTCAACTCCCAGAATTCTCCAGCCATTCTCCAGCTTCTTCTTCATTGCTGGCTGGGAATTCTGGGAGTTGAAGTCCACAAGTCTTAAGCTGCCAAGTTTGGGGACCCCTGACCTACAAGATCCCTTCCAACTCTGTTAATCTGTTATATGTTTTGCTAGACATACTTTAAAACACATGGTGGCGACCTTGAGATAACTTGAGTCTTACCAGGAGACACACATGATCTTCTCCAGTTCTCTGAACCATTTCCTGTGGTTTGTCTTCCTTTTACCACCAAATGTACATGTCAGAAGACAATTCCTTTGCGAAAGGAAAGAATATGTAGCTTCTAAGTCTCTCTGTTGCAGCAGAGTTGGCAGCACAACCTCTGAAGGGGTCTACACCAGCTATCCAAATTCTCAATCTGAAAAAAATGTGGTTTTTCTTCTTCTTCATCACAATTGTCGTCTCACTTCTAAGTATGTATTTATTCCTAATAATAAAAGAGTATAGGTTTTGGCTGGGCATGTTTTCAATTCTTTAGGTTCCTTCAAATCAAGCTGATTCCCTGGAAGTTTTGCTACAAATTGGCAGTAAATTATCTGCAGGAAATTACAAGAGTTGAAGTATTCAGTTGAAATGAAATCTCTGTCTCCGTCTCTCTCTGTCTTTCTCTCTGTCTTTCTCTTTGTCTCTCTCTCTCTCTCTCTGTGTGTGTGTGTGTGTGTGTGTGTGTGTGTCTGTGTGTGTGTGTCTGTGTCTTGTGAGGGGCATGATGGAAAGAATATAAAACTTGTAAGGAATTTATGCAGGGTAGCCCTCATAACTAGAATTGATGCTTGAAAGGAGCAAGAAAGTAGGTCCAAGGAGCACCAAAGTTGCTTCTAAAAAGAGGAAGGATCTACTTATCCACCTCCCCAACTAACCTCATGACTTCCCTATTATTTTCTGCCCAGGAGAAACCACAGGACAGTCGGTAAAGCAAACAACTGGCATTGTGACAGTTACTGAAGGACAACCCGTTTATCTCAATTGTTCTTACGAAGCAGAGTTTAGTGCCACACATTACCCATTCTGGTACATTCAGTCTCCTGGTCAGCCTCCAAAACACCTGTTGAATTCATATTTGAAAACAGCTGAAGGCTTCCAAGCTACTCACAATGCCGATGAAAACAGAAAAAATGGGACTTTCAACATGCAGAACCCATCCATCCAATTGAAAGACTCTGCTGTCTACTTTTGTGCCTTCGGAGACACAGTGAGACAAAGTAGAGGAGAAGCAAACCAAAAAGGTCCAAAGGGGGAGAAAGGCAGCAAAGGTGAGCTCAGAAATGAAAATTCCAATAGTTCCTTTGAGATTTAAAGTCCATGAACGTAGTTGGACGTAATCCAGATCAATTTTGCAATGGAACTGAAGTGTAGGAAATTGGATTAGCTGATGTCACTCAGTGTCTGATCCCAAAGAGAAGCATCACCTGAACTGAGATGATGAAAAATGTTGTCTTATAAGTGCTCTGTGCTTAGAGCTCAAAGCATTGTTAGAGACCCCACACACCCACTTCACAGTCTGTTTCTGTTGCTCCCCTCTGGCAGGGGTTTCGAAGTATTTCTAGCAGGATTACCAGATTCTGTAACGGCTTTGTTCCCTATGCCATCCGTCTGGCAAACTCGCAAGATTCCTTTCTCTTGCAAGATACACATATACATCCGAACTAGACTGTGTTTTTTCTCCATGTCATATAATATATGTGGATATGTGCATAATTATATATGTATGTATGTATGTATGTATGTATGTATGTATGTATGTATGTATTTATGCATACATGCATTTATTTATTGATCTTTTTATTGATCTTTTTATTGATTTATTTTGTCATGTTCATGCAGTGTATATTAGAGGTGGAGACCCTTTGAGACTTGGAGGTAATGGGATTTCATTTTAATATATGCCAATTACTGTACATGCAATGACAATAAAGTTATGAGCCATTGTGGCAGAATGGTTTGAGTGCAGTACTGCAGGCTTCTTCTGCTGCCTGCGGCTGCCTGCAATTTGGGAATTCAAATCTCATCAGGGTCAAGGTTGACTCAGCCTTCCATCCTTCCGAGGTGGGTAAAAAGAGGACCCAAAATTGTTAGGAGCAAAATGCTGACTCTGTAAACTGCTTAGAAAGGATTGTAAAGCAGTATATAAGTGCTATTGCTATTGCTACTATTCTATTCTATTCTATTCTATTCTATTCTATTCTATTCTATTCTATTCTATTCTATTCTATTCCTATTCCTATTCCTATTCCTATTCCATTCTATTCTATTCTATTCCTATTCTATTCCTATTCCTATTCTATTCCTATTCCTATTCCTATTCCATTCCATTCCACTCACACTCCAATCTGCATTCTATTCTATTCTATTCTATTCTATTCTATTCTATTCTATTCTATTCTATTCTATTCTATTCTATTCTATTCTATTCCTATTCCTATTCCACTCCACTCCACTCCACTCCACTCCACTCCACTCCACTCCACACTCCAGTCTGTATTCTATTCTATTCTATTCTATTCTATTCTATTCTATTCTATTCTATTCTATTCTATTCTATTCTATTCTATTCTATTCTATTCATCCCATCCATCCCATCCCATCCCATCCCATCCCATTATCTGCTTTCTGATCACTCAAATAGTCATACCACATTCAGACACCATGTGGTAGTACTGAGATGCCACAGCTTTACCCTTCTCTTCTTAAAAGCCAGATGTTGAGTTTCCTATGGAGCTTTGAGGTGACCTCACCACCGACCACATCCATTGGCTTGCAGTATTGTACCTAAGATACTTTAGAAAAAACCCATTTACCTTGAGAAGACATCCGCTGGGTTGCCATATATCTTTCTCATCCACCAAAATAGTGGATCAGGACTCCACCAATCCTTCAGATCTATTTTTGGGTGTTTGGATCTCCTCTCCTTCCTCCATTCCCTCATCGGGGTATACATTGGGTTCATCCTTTGTCTCTTAAGTAAGTTATTGCTTTCTATACTTTATGAATATATTATGTATTTATTTCCATTTCATATGTTAGACCATAGTGTTTGGCTGGGCATACAGTATCTTCCCTTGTTTAGGTTCCTTCAAATCAAGTAGATCCTTTGGAAGAGTTCTTGGAAATGGATAATAAATTATTTGAAAGGATTTACAAGAACAAGAACAGATGTAATCTGTTTGCCCAGTGTGTTTGGTGGTGGGAATGATGGAGAGAATATAAATCTGAGAAGGGATTTCTACAAGGAAGCCCTCATAATTAGCATAATATTTGCAGAGAAAGTTGGTCCCAGAAACACTCTGGTTGCTTTTGAAAAGAGGGAGAAGGATCTACTGGTCCACCACTCCACCTCAACTCATGCCTTCTTCATTATCTTCTGTTCAGAAGAAAGCACAGGAAAGACATTGGACCAAACATCTGGCACTGTGATTGTTATTGAAGGACAATGGGTCTCTCTCAATTGTTCCTATGAAGAAGAATTTGGTGGGACGAATTACCCATTGTGGTACATCCAACCTCTTGGTCAACCTCTTAAATTCCTTTTGGCATCTTACTTGAAAAATCCTCAAGGATTCCAAGCTACTCATGTTCCCCTTGAAAACAGAAAAGGGACTCTCAATTTGCAGATACACGCCTGTCAGCTGAAGGACTCTGCTGTCTACTTTTGTGCCTTCAGAGACACAGTGAGACAAAGTAGATGAGAAGCCAAAAAAAAAAAAAAAAAAGACTCAACAGGGGAAGAAAAGCAGTGAGAGTGAACTCAGGAATGAAAATTCCATTAGATCCTTTGAGATTAAGGTCCATGAATGTAGTTGGACTTAATCCAGATCAAATTTGCAATAGAAGTGAGAGGTAGGAAACTGGGATATTTGTGGTCACTCAGTGTCTAATACCAAGAAGGACCACAGGGGAAAATAGAAATTCTTACCTAATCATTTGGAACCACTTATCTCCATAGCCATGCAAAGAAGGTTTTCATGTCATTTAGGTTCTAGCATTGTGAGTTGTCCATTCAACACTGGGATTCATCTTTCCAATTTTAACACTTTCAGACTCTAAAATGATTCCAACTCACATTTTATATGAGCCTGAGTGGCGCAGCAGACTAATGGTACTGTTAAAAGGTAGTATTTAGCTTCCAGCTGCCTGCAATTACTGTGAGTTCAATTCTCACCAGGCTCAAGGTTGACTCAGCCTTCCATCCTTTCTAAGGTAGGTAAAATGAGGACCCGGTTTGTGGGGGCAATAAGCTGACTTTGAATAAAATATACAAAAGTATGAAGGCTATTGCTTAACGCATTGTAAGCCGCCCTGAATCTCCGGAGAAGGGCGGCATATAAATTAAAATAATAATAATAAAAATTATATGAAGAACATCTTTCTCTGTGTGTGTCTCTGTCCCTCTGTCTCTTTCTCTCCTATTTATCCTCCAAGTTCCATCTCCATTCAACTGGTCAATAATACATTGTACTTTCAAAAATCACCTTCAGTGCTGGGATCCTTCCTCCAACCAAATTGTTTTCCTACACCTACTTTAAAACACATGGTGGCAACCTTGAGATAACTTGAGTCTTACCAGGAGACACACGTGATCTTCTCCAGCTCTCTGAACCATTTCCTGTGGTTGTCTTCCTTTTACCACCAAATGTAACATGTCAGAAGACAATTCCTTTGCGAAAGGAAAGAATATATAGCTTCTAAGTCTCTGTTGCAGCAAAGTTGGCAGCACAACCTCTGAAGGGGTCTACACCAGCTACCCAAAATCTCAATCTGAAAAAAAATGTGGCTTTTCTTCTTCTTCATCATCATCGTCTCTCTTCTAAGTATGTATTTACTTCCTAACAATGATAGACTATAGGTTTTGGTTGGCATGTCTTCAATTCTTCAGGTTCCTTCAAATCAAGTCCATCCCTTGGACGGTTTTCCTAAAAAATGGCAGTAAATTATTCCTGGAAATTACAAGAATGAAGTATTCAGTTGAATTGAAATCTTTCTCTCCCTCCCTCCCTCCGTCCCTCTCTCTGTGTGTGTGTGTATGATCAGTGTGTTTGATGATTGGCCTGATGGAAAGAATATAAAACTGGGAAGGAATTTATACCGGGTAGCCCTCATTATTAGAACTGAAAACAGCAAGAAAGTAGGTCCAAGGAGCATCAAGATTGCTTCTAAAAAGAGGAAGGACCTTCTTATCCACCTCTCCAACTAACCTCCTGAATTCCCTATTATTTTCTGTCCAGGAGGAAGCACAGGACAGTCGGTAAAGCAAACAACTGGCATTTTGACTGTTACTGAAGGACAACTCGTTTATCTCAATTGTTCTTATGAAGCAGGGTTTAGTGGCACACATTACCCATTCTGGTACATTCAGTCTTCTGGTCTTCCTCCAAAACACCTTTTGGATTCATATTTGAAAACAGCTCAAGGATTCCAAGCTACTCAGAAGACCTATGAAAATGGAAAAAAGGGAAGTTTCAACATGCAGAAACCAACCATCCAATCGAAAGACTCTGCTGTCTACTTTTGTGCCTTCAGAGACACAGTGAGACAAAGTAGATGAGAAGCCCACAAAAAGGCACAAAGGGGGAGAAAAGCAGTGAGGGTGATCTCAGGAATGAAAATTCCATTAGGTTCTTTGAGATTAAGGTCCATGAATGTAGTTGGACTTAATCCAGATCAACCTTGCAATGGAAGTGAGAGGTAGGAAATTGGGATATTTGTGGTCACTCAGTGTCTAATACCAAGAAGGACCACAGGGAAAAATAGAAATTGTTATCTAATCATTTGGAACCACTTATCTCCATAGCCATGCAAAGAAGGTTTTCATGTCATTTAGGTTCTAGCATTGTGAGTTGTCCATTCAACACTGGGATTCATCTTTCCATTTTTAACCCTTTCAGACTCTAAAATGATTCCAACTCACATTTCCTATGAAGAACATCTCTCTCGGTGTGTCTCTCTGTCCCTCTGTCTCTTTCTCTCCTATTTACCCTCCAAGTTCCTTCTCCATTCACCTGGCCAATAGTACATTCTTGTTTCAAAAATCACCTTCAATACTGTGATTCTTCCTTCAACCAAACTGTTTTCTTACTTCAGGAATTGAAGTATTCAGTTGAAGTGAAATCTCTGTCCCTCTGTCTCTCTCCCTCTCTGTCTCTGTCTCTCTCTGACTTTCTCTCTGTCCCACTCTCTGTCTCTCTGTGTCTCTCTTTGTCATTGTCTTTCTATCTCTGTCTCTCTCTTTGTCTCTCTCTCTCTTATTTATCCAGTTTTCCAGTTTTATTTAAGGTTGATTTCCGAAAAGAGGGAGAATGACTTACTTGTCCAACTCTCCAATTTACCTCATGAATTCTCTATTATTTCCTGTCCAGGAGGAAACACAGGACAGTCAGTGAAGCAAACGACTGCCATTGTGACTGTTACTGAAGGACAACCCGTTTATCTTCATTGTTCTTATGAAGCAAGGTTTAGTGGCTCATACGTCCTATTCTGGTACATTCAGTCTCCTGGTCAGCCTCCAAAATACCTTTTGGATTCGTATTTGAAAACAGCTGAAGGATTCCAAGCTACTCACAGTGCCGATGAAAACAGAAAAAGGGGACTTTCAACATGCAGAAACCATCCATCCAATTGAAAGACTCTGCTGTCTACTTTTGTGCCTTCAGAGACACATTGAGACAAGGTAGAGGAGAAGACAATAAAAAAGGCCCAGTGGGGGAGAAAAGCAGCGAAGGTGACCTCAGAATTGAAAATTCCAATAGTTCCTTTCAGGTGAAGGTCCATGAACGTAGTTGGATGTAATCCAGATCAACCTTGAAATGGAAGTGAGTTGTAGGAAATTGGGATATTTCAGTGTCTGATCCCATGAAGAAGGACCAACTGGGAAAATATCTGATAATGGTTATCTAACCATTTGGAATCACTTATCTCCATAGTCATGCAAAGAAGTCTTTCATGTCATTTAGGTTCCAGCATTGTGAGTTGTCCATTTAACTCTAGGATTCGTCTTTCCATTTTTAACCCTTTCAGACTCTAAAATGATTCCAACTCATGTTTCTATGAAGAACCTCTTTCTCTCTCTGTGTCTCTCTGTCTCTTTCTCTCCTATTTACCCTCCAAGTTCCTTCTCCATTCCCTCTCCTGGCCAATAATACATTGTTCTTTCAAAAATCACTTAAACAGATTAACAGAGTTGGAAGGGACCTTATAGGTCATCTAGTCCAATCCCCTGCTTAAGCAGGAGACCCTATACCAGTGATAGCTAACCTTTTTTCTGTCGCGTGCCAAAAGTGGGGAGCATGGGAGGGTTGCGCACGAGTGTCCCCACAACCATAATTCAATGCCCCCACGCCCTGCACATGTGCGCGCGACCCCTCCGTACTCCCACTTTTGGCACGCGACGGCAAAAAGGTTACCGGTGGGCCTAGTAGGCCTGTTTTTCTAAGAAGGCCTCTGCAGCCTGGGGAGGGTGAAAATGGCCTGTCAGCCTCCAATCTTTCAATGCTTGCTTGTCGGCTGCCATGGTAACGGGGGGGGAGGGGGTCTTACTAGTCGGGGAAGCGTGCTGGAGAATCTTAACTGCAGTCCTGTGCCTTTGAAGCTGCTATCTGCTGACATTCCAGATTGATGACACTGCCAGATGTGTGATTCCACCTGACCTCTGGAAGACCTTTGGATTGGATGATTTACGCTGGACAGTTGGGAGGGGATGCTTTCTATATGTGATTTTCGCGCCTACTGTTTCAGATTCTGCTTTTCGTGGTTGCGTTCACTTCAATTTTCAGTAAAAGTACCTTTCTCTATAAACAATGGAGTTGGGGTCATTCTTTCTTGAACTTTGAAGGAAGCACACCTGAAATGGCCTTCCCCTCCCCCACCAGAGGACCTCCAGAGGCTGGAAATGGCTTGTTTCCTGACTTCTGGTGGGCCCAAAAGGCCCGAAAATCAGCTGGCTGGCGCGCATGTGCATGCTGGAGCTGAGTTAGGGCAACACTCATGTGCCCACAGATATTGCTCCTCATGCCATCTGTGGCATGTGTGCCATAGGTTCGCCATCTCGGCCCTATACCATTTCTGACAAATGGCAGTCCAATCTTTTCTTGAAAGTCTCAAATGATGAAGCTTCCACAACTTCCAAAGGCAAGCTGTTCCATTGGTTGATTGTTCTCACTGTCAGAAAGTTCCTCCTCATTTCTAGGTTGAATCTCTTCTCAGTCAGTTTCCATCCATTATTCTTTGTCTGGCCCTCAGGTGCTTTGGAAAACACCTTGACCCCCTCCTCTCTGTGGCAGCCCCTCAAATATTGGAACAGCGCTATCATGTCTCCCCTGGTCCTTCTCTTCACTAGACTTGACATGCCCAGTTCATGTAACCGTTCTTCATATTTTTTTAGTCTGCAGTCCCCTAATCATCCTGCTTGCTCTCCTCTGCACTTTTTCTAGAGTCTCAACATCTTTTTTTATAGTGGGGTGACCAAAACTGGATGCAGTACTCTAGGTGTGGTCTTCTTAGGGCTTTATAGAGTGGTATTAGTACCTCACTTGATCTTGATTGTATCCCTCTGTTAATGCAATTTAGGATTGCATTGGCTTTTTTAGCTGCTGCTGCACACTGCTGGCTCATATTTAGCTGATTGTCCACTAAGACTCCAAGATCCCTCTCACAGACACTGCTATTAAGCCTGGTTTTCTCCAGTTTATATGAGGGTTTTTCTTACCTAAGTGTAAGACTTTACTTTTTGCTACATTGAATTTCATTTTGTTAGATCGGGCCCAGTGTTCAAGTCTGTCAAGATCCATCTGGATCTTAAACTTATCTTCTAGAGTGTTAACTATTCCTGCCAGCTTAGTATCATCTGCAAATTTGGTGAGTACCTTCAGTGCTGGGATCCTTCTTTCAACCAAATTGTTTTCCAACACCTACTTTAAAACACATGGTGGCAACCTTGAGATAACTTGAGTCCCACGAGGAGACACACATGACCTTCTCCAGCTCTCTGAACCATATCCTGTGGTTTCTCTTCCTTTTACCACCAAATTTACATGTTAGAAGACAATTCCTTTGCGAAAGGAAAGAAAATATAGCTTCTAAGTCTTTGTTGCAGCAAAGTTGGCAGCAAAACCTCTGCAGGTGTCTACACCAATTTGAAGTTCTCCAAAGATTATTTTGGGAGGGTTTAGTATTCAAATTCTTAATCTGAAAAAATGTGGCTGTTCGTCTTCTTCATTCTCATCATTTCACTTCTAAGTATGTATTTATTCCCTAATAATGGTAAGAATATAGGTTTTGTCTGGGGATGTCCTCAGTCCTTTAGATTCCTTCAAATCAAGTCCATTCCCTGGAAGTCTTTCTGGAAATTGGCAGTAGATTATCTCTGGGAAATTACAAGAACTGAAGTATTCATCTGAAATGAAATCTGTGTGTATGCATGTGTGTTTGTGTGTCTGGGTGTGTTTGGTGTGTTTGGTGATGGAAAGAATATAAAACTGGGAAGGAATTTATACAGGCTAGCCCATAATTACCACTCATATTTGAAAACAGCAGGAGAGTAGGTTCAAGCAGCACCAAGATTGCTTCTGAAATGCAAGGAAAAGACCTACTTCTCCACCTCTCCAACTAACATCCTGAATTATCTATTATTTTGTGTCTAGGAGGAAGCACAGGACAGTCAGTGAAGCAAGCAACTCCCATTGTGACTGTTACTGAAGAACAACCCGTTTATCTCCATTGTTCTTATGGACAAGAATTTACTACTAGCTCATATATCCTATACTGGTACATTCAGTCTCCTGGTCAGCCTCCAAAATACCTTTTGGATTCATATTTGAAAACAGCTGAAGGATTTGAAGCTGCTCTCAGTGCTGATGAAAACAAAAGAAATGGGACTTTCAACATGCAGAAACCATTCATCCATCTGAAAGATTCTGCTATCTATTTCTGTGTCTTCAAAGACACAGTGAGACAAAGTAGATCAGAAGCCAACCAAACAGGCCCAAAGGGAGAGAAAAGCAGCGAAGGTGAGCTCAGAAATTAAAATTCCAGTAGTTCCTTCGAGATGAAGGTCCATGAACGTCATTGGACGTAATCCAGATCAACTGTGAAATGGAAGTGAGAGGTAGAAAAATGGGATATTTGTGATTGCTCAGTGTCAGATCTCATGAAGAAGAACCGCCTGGGAAAATATCTGATAATAGTTATCTAACCATTATCTCCATAGTCATGCAAAGAAGGGTTTCATGTCATTTAGGTTCTAGCATTGCGAGTTGTCCATTCAGCACCGGGATTCATCTTTCCATTTTTAACCCTTTCAGACTCTAAAATGATTCCAATTGTCATGACATACGAAGAACATCTTTCTCTTTGTGTGTCTCTGTCCCTCTGTCTCTTTCTCTGCTATTTATCCTCTATGTTCCTTCTCCATTCACCTAAATATACATTTTTCTTTCAAAAATCACCTTCAATGCTGGGATCCTTCCTTCAACCAAAATGTTTTCCAACACCTACTTTAAAACACATGGTGGCAACCTTGAGATAAGTTGAGTCTTACCAGGAGACACACATGACCTTCTCCAGCTCTTTGAACCATTTCCTGTGGTTTCTCTTCTTTTTACCACCAAATTTACATGTTAGAAGACAATTCCTTTGTGTAAGGAAAGAATATGTAGCTTCTAAGTCTCTGTTGCAACAAGGTTGGCAGCATAACTTCTGAAGGTGACTACACCAATTTGAAGTTCTCCGAGGATGATTTTGGGAGGGCTTAGTACCCAAATTCTTAATCTGAAAAAAACGTGTCTGTTCTTCTTCTTCATCATCATCGTCTTACTTCTAAGTATGTATTTACTTCCTAACAAAGATGGACTATAGGTTTTGACTTGGCATGTCTTCAATTCTTTAGGTTCCTTCAAATCAAGTCGATGCCATGGAAGCTTTCCTAGAAATTGGCAGTAAATTATCTCCTGAAAATTACAAAACTGAAGTATTCCTCTGAAATGAAATCTCTCTCTGTGTGTGTGTGTGTGTGTGTTTGGTGTGTGTGTTGGTGTGTGTGTTGGTGTGTTTGGTAGATAGATGATTGAAAGTATATAAAGTACTGGAAAGAATTTACACAGGGTAGCCCTTGTAATTAGAATTGATGCTTGAAAATAACAAGAGAATACGTTCAAGCAGCACTAAGATTCCTTCTGAAAAGAGGGAGTAGAAGACCTAATTGGCCACCACTACAATTTACCTCATGGATTCTCTATTATTTCCTGTCCAGGAGGAAGCACAGGACAGTCGGTGAAGCAAACAACTGGCATTGTGACAATTACTGAAGGACAAACTGTTTATCTCCATTGTTCTTATGAAGCAGGGTTAAGTGTCTCATACACCCTATTTTGGTACATTCAGTCTCCTGGTCAGCCTCCAAAACAACTTCTGAATTCATATTTCAACAAAGCTCAAGGATTCCAAGCTACTCACAATGTCAGCAAAATTGAGAAAAAGGGAACTTTCAACATGCAGAAACCAACCATCCAGTTGAAAGACTCTGCTATCTACTTTTGTGCCTTCAGAGGCACAGTGAGACAAAGTAGATGAGAAGCCAACAAAAAAGGCACAAAGGGGGAGAGAAGCAGAGAAGGTGAGCTCAGAGTTTTAAATTCCAATGTTCTGTTTGAGATTAAGGTCCATGAATGTAGTTGAATGTAATCCAGATCTGAGTTTGTCATCTTCAGCTCCA